TTTGGATTCAGCTGGAGTCAAGAATGAAAACGATGTGCTATGAAAGATTTTTGTTGCTTTATGCTTGGATTGTTGACTAACTCGAGTAAAGCCCAACAAGCCTGAACCCCAAAGTCGCCACTGGATAAACAATCCAGCACAAATATCAAAAAATAGATTAGGTTTTTATTAAATAAATTTTATAAAAACAGGGAAGTCCAGTTCGCTATGTAAATTCATTGTATTGATCTCCTAGAAGCCAAAAACAAATATGTTTGTGATTTCTTTAAAAAAAAAATGTAAAAGGAAAAAAAAAATTAATTTTAATCTGGAGATTTTTTTTTAATAAGCACTCCATACGAATTATAAAAAAAATATTTTTTTTATATTTTAAAACTAAAACACCTTGCATGGATTTAAATTTTTTAAAAGTAAAACTAAACACCCTCTTTAGTTTCTTTAGTGGGGTTTGAACACCTTTAGTTTAACTTATTTTTTGTGAAACTGAAAAAAAAAGTGATTATTTCGGGTCACAGTGGCTATTAAGTCCATAAAACCAAAAGTAAAATTAAGTTGAAGTTGGTAAAATAAAAATAAAATGAAAACATAAAAAAGCCTTTGTTACTCATTAAAAAAACTAGAACATTGCAAAATGCAGCATCTTTAATCGAAGAATAATGAAGAAAAACAAATAAAAATGGTACCGAATTCTAGAATAAAAATGAAATTTTTGAGTTGTTTTAAAAAATTTATTCGGGATACTTACCATATCAAAGACTTTTTTTTTATTCTCTTCTCGGTATAAAAAAATGAAAGATTTCAAGAAAATATGCTAGAATTTTACTGCAACAATTATAAACATGCGAGCTCTATTTAATAAACATTAAAAAGTTTACATTGCGAGAAAAAAAAAATTAACGTGTATTGACGAAAAACGGAATTGTCTGACTTGAGAGACAATTTAACCTTGACATTGTAAACAAATCTAAAGGTAGAGGTCGACCGGCATAAAATCTCGCGAGATTAACGGATGATGATGATGATCATCATCATCATCACCATCATATTTTTGTCATGCTAAACTATTCATTTGATATTAGAAACTCGTTTTGCTCGAATTAAAACGAGAACTCAATTAAAATTAAATTAAATCAATCTTTTAACAAGTTAGTATTTTTAAAACGTTACTGTTAATTACGACCAAAGTTTGTTTTTCAACATATTAAATATCCCAAGAAGACAGTTTGTAATCATCATCATCATCATCATCATCATCATCATCATCATCATTTCTTCCTATTATTATTTTTTAAATTAATTTTAATTTCATATAAGGAAATCATCTATGAAAATAATTTGAAAATTACTAAAAGGCATTGTATAAGAAGATGGAACTTGTCTGTACCTACACATAATTAAAAATTTAATTCTGAAATGTGATACAGTTGTAAATTTTTTTTTCGTTTTTGTGCATTTTAAGTTTTCATGAAAAATGTATCTTTACAGGAAATAAAAGAAAAATTACTTTTTTTTTTTAAAATTTCACCATTTAATGATTCATTGTAAAAAAAACCGTTCTTGGTTTAGTAAAAAGTTCAATTTCCAAATAAATTTAATTGAGAAAATTAATTTATTTTTGTATTTTATTATTATTTCTTCAAGCCAAGTCATAAAAAAAAAATAGAATCTAACAAAATTTTAAAATATATCAGGTTTTAAAAAAATATCGGCTCCATCTTCCAATATCGTTTTTCAAATATGTTCAAAAATCCAATAATTTTTAATCTAATAAAAAGAGGCGAGGTGAACCACGTGACCACTATGTCGTAAGTGGAGAGTTATTTAAATGCTAGTAATAATGTCCAGGATATTTTCGTCATTAGGCTAACTTGATCCCCGAAAGATTATTCAAAGCATTCTATTAATTAGAGTCTAATAGAATGTCTAATTAGACAGCTCGAATGTTTTATTAGTTTTCAAATGCAGAAAGTATATTTGGTGATATGAAAATTGAAAAATGGTTTTTAGAGAGAGAGAGAGAGAGAGAGAGTGTGTGTGTCTCTGTGTGTCTCTGTGTGTGTGTGTGTTAGTGAAACCCATTGAATACCATGATTGAAACTCGTTCATTAAAAATAAAATAATTACTTCATCGAAGTACGTTTTTGCTTTTAGATTTTTTTTGCCTATGGTACTTTTACCATTACCATAGCTGTAGCATATGGCTTGTTATTTTTATTTTATTTATTTATTTTTAACTTTTTAGAGTGGGTAGAGAATTGACATAAGCAACCCGTGCACATCATTGTTTTAAGGTTTAAGGTTTACCTTAATAAAACTAATATTTATTTACACTTCTAAAATAATCTTACTCCCAAAGTCATTATGATAATAATAATAATACAAGCTAAACAAATCTCTGTTAAAAAAATGAGTTTCTTTTTTTTAGAATTTAATTGCATCTTTTATTGTAAAAAAAAATATAAAAAAATGTAAATTTATCACACGAAAAAAACAAAATGTACATAAAACAATTAATTTTTACAGATTTTACTGTGTGTTGGATTTGGATTATTTTTGTAAATTAAGAAGGGAAACTTGATGAAAAATTTTTTAAAATGCTTAAATTTAAAGTTAAAGAATTTGGTTAATTTTAATTTAGCTTATTTTTTTAAAATCGATATTCCAAATTCTCTACCGAAAAATATTGTTTCTTTTAAATCCCATGATTGGAAGTGTTTAATTAATTGTCACTTTTCTTTTCTGGCTATAGTAAAAATCTTTGTAAACAATTTTTGTTAAAACGATAGACTTAAATTTAAATAAAATATGACTAACATTAAGTTTTGTTTTACATTCTAAAATTAGAATATAAAGTACTTTCCATTATACAAAGAATCAACATTCTTCAAATAAAAAGAAATATTTTTCTGTTAAAATTCAGAATGATCAAATTATTATTACCACTTACTTAACAGAAATTAACGCGCTAATATTTTTAATTTTAAATTAATGTTTTTTTTTTAATAATATGGGATTTCGAATCCAACAACGACATCAGAAAAATTCTTTCAATCAATACCCACAATAGTGTTCTTGCGAAAAGGAGCAAGTCTCTTTTTTAAGCACTAAAGAAATTTATACGGCAAAACTTTTGCCGTAAAAACAAAACTTATCGAAATTGTAAAATTGCTAAAAAAATGGTTTAAAAGTAAAACTAAGTATTGACTTTTTATTTGAAATATCCATGAGGTAAAAAAAAAAACAAAAAAAACGAGTTGTTTAAAAATAAAATTAAAAAGCAATTTTAACAGTCAAAATGAAAAATGGGAAGATTAATTTCTGTCTGACTATTGTCCTCATCTTTGTTATTTATCACAACGTTCGGTCGTTGTCATCTCCGGCCTTCATAAACGAGATCCGGGTTACCTACAGAGAATTCCAAACTGAACCCTTTTTAATCTACAGATGTATATTGTATATTGTTCTTGTTCCACTGCCCATCTCTAGGGATATCTCGTTTTTAGTTTATGAAGAACGGATAACAACAAAAAAAGATGAAGACAAAAGACTGAAGAAGTGTAAAAGTAAAATTTACATGATTCTTAAAAAGTCTCTCTTTAGAGATATAAACGAACTTTTTCAGTTGAGTGAAATGAGCGTGTACTGTACACTAAACAATTAAAACGTTTCTTGCTTGATGGAATGGTTGGAAACCTAGTAATATTGACATTTTTGTGCATGAGGTCTTGTTGTAAAATCTTAGTTGTGCACAGCACGTAGTCTCTAGTACACAAGCATAAATTCCCTTTCTGGAATTGGATTGCAAAATTAATTCATTGGTGAATATTGCGTGTGCCGCATTCAGAGCCGCTCACAGTTAGGGAAAGCGGCAAAAAGCCTTACTCCTTGCACCTAAAATTTTGGTTTTGTGAGGTTGGAGAAAATTCACCCGAACCCCATCCCGCTTAGAATCTTGGAGTAATAATAAACAAGACAAGAGTGATGAAAATGTGTTTTTGTTTTTATATATAATTTGGTTATACTACCTTTCTCGGTAGCACTTAACTTGGGTGATTGAGTCCTGGAATTATTAAAAGACAAACGACAAATGTTCAGAAACTCTTTGGCTCATCTAAAACTAGGCTGAATTATGTGAAGGCGTTCAATCTGGAAATCATTTTTAAAATATCGATACTACATTGATTTGTTTGTGCTGCTTGCAAAAAGTTGGTTTAAAGGCCCCACTTATTACAATTATGTTTAGTTTAAGCTTTTTTTTTAAATTGGTTCCCCAGTACCTATGATTTCATTTAAGAAAGAACTTTTTTTTATTTACGTAATAATGAATTTCGATGTGGTTTGCTGAAGTGGGGCTAAGTTTAAAAATTGATTTTCTTTTTTGTTACCTGACCATATTGCTATCCGAAATTAATTTATTATATTTATTTTGAATTTTATTTGAAGGCTACTCCAATATTAGATGGAGTAAGAAGTGGTCACGATATATACGTCAAATGAGTAATAAGTTATAAAATACTGTAACTTTAAGTCTAAGATGTAAGTCACGCTTTTTTTTAAAGTTATATATCATAGTTAATTTATAATTTGTCTATTTTCTTTTCTTCATTTTTTTGTTAAAAGTTTGATTACTCAAAAATTAAAAAAAACCTGAAAAACTGCAAATTTATGTAAAAAAAAGACATGATAAAATTGTATATTTTTTTTGGAAATCTTTTCGTCAAAAAATAAAAAAATGACGTTCTTAACATTTCCTTTTAATAAAAATAATTTATAGGCATTAAATGTGAAATATCACACATCTGACCCAAATTTTTGTCATTATTAAACTTTTTGGCCGGTTGTTTGTATTTGCGTCTGTAAAGTCACGTCGATGATAGCGAAGTCTCGCGTGATTCAATGGCCGCCGCGAGATTATCATCATCATCGTTGTGAAGTTGGTGAGTCAAAGTAAGAATAACAAAGGAGAGAGAGAGACAAGTCGGAGGAGGATGCAGCATCAGATGAATATGCAACAGCCGCCACAGTCGCAGCCGCAGCAGCGCTATGCCCCGCAGGGCCCACAAATGCGGCCATTTTCACAACCAGGATACCCAGTAAGTAATATATTACATATGTAATCAGCCTGAGAGGAGGAAAGACTCTTGTTGTTGCCTCTGTTGTTAGTGATGGTGGCCGGTGGCGGCCATGACGGGAGACCGACTCCTTCTCCTTCTTCTTCTTCCGAAAACAACACAACAATCCAACAACAGACGAACGAATCGAAGAGGAAGAAACACAAAAAGGTTGTTGTTCTTGTGCCAAAACTGTTTCTTGTACCCTTTTGCCGTCTGTGTTCTGCAATTCCACCATTTTTTCCTAGCCGAATTAATCGTTGCTTTTGCCCCACTCTTTTTATTCACATCATTCGTCCTCCATCATCATTTTTAGTAAAATTCTTCGATCGAGACTTTGTATTTTTTTTCTTTAAATAATAGAATCTGAAGATATGAATTGTTTCCTTGTTCTTTCGACAAGGAAAAACTGAAATTGATATGTGCAAAAATTCCAGCTGTAACTTTTTAAAAATGTTTTTCTGCTTCAACCCACCCGTTTTAGTTTGTCATCAGCCTTTTCCTTTTGTGAAGTTATTAAAATAATACCTTAAAACATTATCACTAATTAAGCTTTAAAACCTTCTAATACTTATTATCAGTTAAATTATTATTACTTTCGTTTTTTACTGTATTTTGTCTCTACGAATATTTCCTTTGTTTCTTAAATTAGTCACAACTCTATATTCAAAAACAACAAAAAACAAATCGTTTCGTATTTGTTTTTTGATTAAACAAAGGAAAATTCATTTAAAACTCTTTATTTAAATTAGCTATTTCTTTAAATTATCTTTCATTGCAATGATCTATTTTAAGTATTTCAGTTTTTAAAGTTTTTCAAATAATATTAAGTGTTATTTTGGCCTAGATTACTCATAAAAAAATAAATAAATAATTTCCGAGATTATCATTATTTCTTACGAAAATATTATTTTTTCGTAAATTAACAGTTTAATTAGCTGATGTCAAGTCCCCCTTATTTAAAGATAGTAAAAAAGAACAATGTCTGCTTATTTTAATTGGCAAATTAGTTTCGTTTTTAGCCAATTAGTCATGCACTTTCCCTTTCATTGATAATTACATAAAAACAACATTTGCGATTCCTATACAAACCTCAAAGATCGTTTTAAAATTGTTATTATCATCCTCTCATCATTAAATTTATTTAAATCAATTTAAGGTATTACCCCCTCATCTCCCACCGTTATAGTGTGAAGATCTACTTTTTTTTATCATTTAACTACACAGTGGTATTTTTAAATGTCACAGTTTACAATAAAGAAATGTTTTTGGCAAATTTCAAATTCTTTACCATAGAAAATAAAAATTCCTTAAGGATAAAAAAACAACTTACCATTAAAAAGAATATCAATAAATTAATTAAAAAAAAATATAAGTATTATTAATTAAAATATTGCAATTTATGCTTTAAAATCACATATCCATCTGTTTAGGACCGATTTTGGAAATTAAAATTTTATATCCGAGATTGTTTTGAACAATACTGGTTGTTAATTACTCTATTTATATTCGGACGATTGTCCTCATCTTTGTTGTTGCTATCATAACGTTGGGATAGCAACATCAAAGATGAGAACAATAGTCCGAATAATGATAACTCCTCATCCAAGAAATTGAGGCAAATACTTCTCAAAGTTATAGATAGTAAATTATTATTTTTATTTTTGTATTGTTTATTTTGATATAAGAAGTGGAAATTTGTATTTCTTCCTTGTAGCTCCTTAAATTTATTTTTCAAAACTAATTTAAATATTATATCAGAAACATCAAAAAAATGCTTTTATGTTTTCAGTAGTGATGAGGTTTTATAATTTCTCAAAATAAAATTAGTTAATTGCTAAATGCTAAAATTCTTCTTTGCTAATCAGTCAATAAGTAACATGCATTTTTAAAAAACGATTTTTCAACCTACTAGAGATATATTTATTTTTACATGAATTCATATTACGATTGTTAAGTTTTACTTTTAACAACATTATATGGTGGAAATGTATTGCATATTTAGATGATGATAATAAATCATTATTGCAACCATATATTTTTGATGAAGTGTTTTATTTTAGAACAAGCAACAAAAAATTAAGATGAAAGAAAATTACTAGTGAAAACTAATGATAATTTGTTAAATCACTCCTAAAAAAATAGATTTCTTTTATTAAATTTAAGTATTCTTATTGTTTGGATATCTTTTTTTTTTTTTTTTTTTTTTATAAATTTAATCATTGAAATACTCGCACACTAAATACATTAATATTTGATGATCATAGGATCCAGTATGGTGTCAGAGCAATAGAAAAAATCTTTTGGTCTTGAGATATATAGATTATGATCCTTACAATTAGATTGTGTGCATTTATTGAATATATAAGTAAACAACTCAGTGATTAAGCAACAAGATTAATTAAAATAGTACTATTTAAGAAATCCTTTAAAAAAAATTCAATATTCTATAGCATCATCTGCAGGTGATATAGTTACAGATTTAATGAAATTAATTTATACCCTTATTTAACATTTTAGATACATTGCAAATAAAAGGCAAGGACACATATCTATTTGTGTGTGTGTATATATATATATATATATATATATATATAGAGAGAGAGAGAGAATTGGGATCAAATATGGATCAGAATAAGATAAAAAACAAGTAGGAAACATTTATCAATCTAACATATTTCACATTTTAAAGATTCATCAGAGAATAGATATGGGGAAAAAGAAGAAAGAAATTCATGATTATATTAATGTTGATTTAAAAAGTCCAATACATTTGAAGCATGATTAATCAATGAGAATCAAACATAAAAGTAAAAATACCAGAATCTCTTTGTTCTTTTTCTCCATATCTCATTCTCTCATGAAGCTTTAATAAAAGTTAAACCTGGTAGATTGATAAATGTTTCTTATTTGTTCTTTATCATATATATATATATATATATATATATATATATATATAATCTTGATTTAAAATTATTTTTAGTGGTTACTCATTTGAGTAGGCATTCCATTTATTTATTTAACAGTATATTTATTTTCATCTACCAGCCTTGAATATTCGAGATATCTTATTGGGGGTGCATCTTTTCTTTTAATAAGATTTCTTGAATATTCAGGCTAGTAAACGAAAATAAATACATTGTTTAATAAGCAAACAGATGATCTACTTAAATATGTGTGTCCATGAAAAATTATGATTGAAGTAATAAAATTTGTCAGATTAAATAAAAAAAAATGTATTATTTTTATTTTTGTGTGTGTGTATATATATATATATATATATATATATAGCACAGGCTGATAGATGTAATACACAAATATGTAGTATCCACTATAATAACTGTTGAGGTAATATAAATCTCAGATTAAAATAAATCCATTAATCCTTTAGAAATTGCTTTGTTTATATTTTGACTATGAAACTGAGCAGATAGGAAGTCTTTGAGAAAATAATCTGGGTGAAGAGGATGTGCTTCCCTTAAAAGGGTGAAAATTAGAACCTTGCTTGCTGCATTGTCTTTCATGGCCCAACACACCGGATCAACCTCTGGTTTTCCATATAAAGTGGATGCAAGTTCAACACTTTCAGGGACTGTGTTTTTCTTTACTAAGATTTCTTGTGTGTGTGTACATACCCAGACACAGAATACCAAAAAGTTTTTTTTTTTTTCTATGTTAGATTATGTTTGACTGTTTATAGCTGCTAAGTTTTATTATTTTAGGAGATCCTTATGATTTAGGATCTTATTACAGTCTGACATATGTTGATATTTTCACCAAGAAGAAGCAATACAGTCTAATCAATACTAATTAGGTAATAATTTAAACATTTCACACACCATGAATTAGAGAATTAAATAATACCAAGTGTAAAGTTGCTAGAAATATTCTTTGGGAGGTAGTAAAAGATGTAATTATTTTACAAATAGAATGTTACAACACTGTGGTGAATGCAAATTTAGTCAAGGTGGCTGAGGTAATATTAATCATTATCTACTGCACTGTTTGGCTCAATTTGATTGGTTAATCTGACTTTTGAGTTTGTTGTTTTGATTATATTCTATGATGTTTTACAAGCCCTTTTTTATACTTCATATGATAAGAATTGAGGATTTTTGGATAGTGATTTCAAAGTTAAGTAACAATTCTGTCTGTAAAATTTAGTTAAAAATAAACTTGCTTTTGGTAATATTTACAATAGATGATGAAGCACAAGTAGTCGAGTAAAGTATTTAAATAACATCACCCTTTATTTTTATGTAACTTTGTACATCTTTTGTTATATTCATATGCTATTATTGTTAATAGTAATAGCATAAATGACTACATATTCATTTTATTTAGCAAAATACAGTGTTTTTGGCATGAGGCCAAAGGGTTAGGTTGGTCATCAGTAAGTATTCTGCTCCTAGCTAGTTTGATTCATAACCCATCCATTCTAACAAGTGACACAAGCACTATAAGAACTCATCCTACACCAGTTGGTTAAAACATGCACCAAAATACCAAGTTTCATAGAGGACCTAATAATACACCTATGATATGTGTATGTATTTTATATATATATATGTGTGTGTGTGTGTACAAATATATATATATATATATACACACATACACACACATTTTTTTTATTTTACGAAAATATATAAAAAGAGATGGGGTAAACCCGTTAATAAATACTTGATGAATAAGTAGAAAAACTGAAATATCCTGAACCAATTTTAAGTATAGTCTATGCAGTTCTCTCATTAATACAAATGCTAGCCTTACAATACCAATTATTAGTGTACTATTATTGTTTAGTCTTGTAGCTAAAGCAAAAGTGTATGCAGAAAAATTCTCAGCTTAAAAAAAAAAAACTTTCAAAAAATAAAATCTGATATTTGGTCATTTGTTCAGATCTTGGAAAATTTGGAAAGGAGGCTGCTGAGAAATTTTCAACATATCCTTGTTTATGTAATATCACAAAGTATTGACAAAAA